CAAAGTTTAGAACATGTTTTTGTTCAAATAGTTGTTATTAAAATTTGAAGAAGAGTTTTGGAGTCTCGAAGCTCAGGACATTAAAACATGGGTACAGTTGTATCTAATGTGTGGGAAATCTCAGTTAAACAGAAGCTCCCCATTGGCAGTATATGCGAGGTAAAGTTTTATGGCATAAGTTAATATTTCTATTTGCTTTTGAAATTTCCACTGTTTCTTTGCTTCTTTTCCAGATATTTTTCTTCCGGTTGACTCTGGATTGCTGGTAAATCTTCGGAAAAATATCGATGTAAGTCTCAGACTTCTTGCTAATTATAAAAATTCTGTATTTTTTAGCACTAGTTTTTATTTAAATGCATTTTTTTCTAGATGGTTCGTTCGTTTCTGCAAGGCTTACCATCGCTGTACGAATGGAACTCTTCGACACAGTGCTGCATTGGAGCAGCGCTAAATGCAGCATACGAACTCATCGTTTGTTATTCGTAGCATTTGTTGATAATGTTTTGTCCTTTACTATAGCGAAAACTGTGAGGACAAAATGGAGAATTAAGTGGTTAGTGAGGCATTGAAATGGCAGGGCGAGAAAGTAGGTGCCCCTTTTCATTAGATGGGAGAAAATGAGAAACTGGTTTTTTCAGTAAATTTACACATAAACTTCATTTATTTTTGTTTGTTCTTTTCCTCTCTTATCTCTGGTAAATACCCATGTCCAATTAAATACTATTGTGATGTTAATTTGCCAGTTGAAGAATTCTACTCCAGTTTTTTTTTCCTTTAAATATTCGAAAATACTTCTGCGAATGTTTTCTTGCATTTGCGTGGAGAAAACCTGCACTTTTTTGTTGCTGTTCATATTCTTGCTTTTAGTTGTTGCTACAGTTTTCCACTGCATCGTTTTATCTTATTATCCTTGAAATGTTTGATGCCATACCGGTGTTCAGGCAGAAAACGGAGGTCGTATCACGGTGTTCTTGACAGTTCTTCCGAATACAGGGCCGGGTGCTTTGAAGAACCGTGAGGATCCGAATCAGCGTGCCGCTGCTGTTAGTTTTCTGTCGAATTGTCCGAAATCTGTGAAGCACTGATTCGTAAATTTATGAAATTTTCCAACTTGCACTGAGTGCCAGTGTTGCAGGAAGTGTTGAATTTGTCGCCAGCCAGCGATTACTATAAAAGTTTGGCACTGGAGTGTACGGGCCATCAGGCTGCCGTTGACTTATTTTTACTGAGTAGTCGCTATGCCGATTTGTCAACGCTCGGTGGGTTTTGATAATATATTTTCGGTTGATAAGGAGGCAACTTTTTTTTTAAATAATTCAAATCGAAATTTGTCCCCTCGCCCCTCCCCATCTCATTCTCCATTGAAGACAGAGGGATTCGGGAATGCCCGAAATGACAGCACTCTGCCAATAGCAACCACTCGTTGGCGAAGTTGTCGATGGTTGCCTTTTTCGAAAATTATCTCGGAAGCGGACTGAAAAAAGTGCTTGTACATGAATTAGTGGATTTTGAAAAGATTAGTTTTTGCCGGCGGGTTTGAATGCGGGTGTGGCAGTACTCCCCTCCCCCCACTTCTAGATTCCTCTTTTCCCATGCAGTGATTCTTTGCCAAATGTATGTGGACAAGACGTATTTTTTTTTCTTTCGATTAGATTATAATTGCATTGTTTATTGCCATGTACATTTTTAGCGGATATTTCAAAATTTAGCAGCGGGTGTACCTATCATTTCCCAAATTACCACATTTCACGTGAGCAGATACAAGTGAAAAGATTCCAGAAGCAATTAAACCGTTATCTTGTTCGAAAGATTGGTTTCGAAGCAGTTTTAAGGATTCGTTGTACAAAGGGTAAATCTTTTCTGAACTGGTCATTTTTTTTAATGCGTTTTTTGCAGCAATGCAATGCGAAAAACGCATATTGACAAGAGGTTGTCTGTGTGTGTGT